TGGGAGAGAAACATTCTTATTCTTATTTGAACAAATGTTTAGAGCTGAAAGGGTCTAATTCTAATTCCTCATTTTGTAGTTGAGGAACCAGGGTCAGGGTGCTGAATGTACCAACTGAAGAACCAGGCTCAGCGTGCTGAATGATCAAATAACACTGAAACTACTTTTACACTTAATTTTTGTTTAGTTCAACAATTCTGAGTACTTGCCAAGTGACACACATTGTGCCTAAGTACTTGCTTTGCCAATAATTTCTTTTAAAACATATACATTTGTCCAGGCACAGTGGTTCATGCCTGTAATCCCAGTACTTTGGGAGGTCAAGGCAGGTGGATCACTTGAGGTCAGGAGTTTGACACCAGCCTGGCCAACATGGTAAAATTCTATAATCCAGCCTGGGTGACACAGCAAGACTCCGTCTCAAAAAATAATAATAAAATAAAATAAAAGATACACATTAATCCAAACATTCTTCATAATTTGATTTCAATATACTTGGAATAGCCTATCATTCAAGCCAACCTGGTTTTGTCTTCTGACCATTAACCTCCACCACTACGGGAAGAAAAAGTAAGCTATTATTTCCCATGGTTAATCCATGAAACACCAGCCAAGCCTGAGTTGGTGACATTTACTCTGGCAGGTGTTTTCTAATCAAGAAAATCATGTACAAACAAACATGTGATCTTTACCTTCAGCCTAACTCTTGATGCTTTATAACCACATTGATACGGCACTGAATGGATACAGTAATAGGCTAAATTACATATAGCTTAGTGAAATCACAGCAGGGTACTTTTTTTTTTTTTTTAACAACCTGCTATCAGATAACACTCTGGATACAACACAGAAGAGTTTAATTGGCAGCAATGCAGGAATATTATAATGGTTTAGACATAGGCTTTGAAGCCAGACCCTCATGTTCACATCATAGGCTCTACTACTTACTAGTCATGGAATCTTGAACAGGTTTCTTAATGTCACTGTGTCTTATTTTTCCCACTTATAAAACAGTATATTTTTCATAGGGCAGCTGTGAGAATTAAATGAGGCAATTCCCATAATGTACTTAGAACAGTGTTTCTTACTTGATAATTGCCAGATTAAAATTAACTCTAGTAACGACGATTGCAAGTGATAAGGAAGATACAGAAAGCACTATACAAGACAGCAGAAGTGGCTTACTTGTAGTTGCCATTAAAAAATAAAAACCAGGCCAGGCATGGTGGCTCATACCTGTAATCCCAGCACTTTGAAAGGTGGAGGTAGGTGGATCACCCAAGGTTAGGAGTTCGAGACCAGCCTGATCAGCAAGGTGAAACCCCATCTCTATTAAAAATACAAAAATTAGCCAGGTGTGGTGGCAGGCACCTGTAGTCCCAGCGACTCGGGAGGCTGAGACAGGAGAATTGCTTGAACCCAGAAGGCAGAGGTTGCAGTGAGCTGAGATCATGCACTGCACTCCAGCCTAGGTGACGGAGTGAGCCTCTGTCTCTAAATAAATAAATAAAATAAAAACTAGTAACAACAACAAATTGGCCCAGGCCATGTCTATTAAAATCACATGCAAAAATGTTGCCATGGAGTTTACCTTTTAAAGGTTTCTAATAAGTTCCTTCTAGAACACTATAAGCTTATCATGAATAAAACTTATATTCGGGCCGGGCGCGGTGGCTCAAGCCTGTAATCCCAGCACTGTGGGAGGCCGAGGTGGGTGGATCACGAGGTCAACAGATCGAGACCATCCTGGTCAACATGGTGAAATCCCGTCTCTACTAAAAATACAAAAAATTAGCTGGGCATGGTGGCGTGTGCCTGTAATCCCAGCGACTCAGGAGGCTGAGGCAGGAGAATTGCCTGAACCCGGGAGGCGGAGGTTGCGGTGAGCCGAGATCGCGCCATTGCACTCCAGCCTGGGTAACAAGAGCAAAACTCCGTCTCAAAAAAAAAAAAAAAAAAAAAAACTTATATTCAGTGTTAGCAACTGAGTAACTATAGTAGTATACAGATAAACCAGACAATCATATTTCAATTAATAGGCTTCAATTTATTATAAAGTAAGAATTTTAATTAGCCTTGATTTAAACAGTGATAGTTTAAATCAGTATGACAACATACATGTGAAGCACCAATAAATAAAATCATTACTTGGCAAGACAATTATTTAAAGCAACTCTCTGAAATCATCAATTATTTAGTTCTAACAAGGTAAAGAGGACCATCCAGAAAAATAACTGCAAATATACATGCAAGTCAAAATCTGAGACTTAAGTATATTTTTGTTGAAGATATTTTACATGGATACTTAAAACTAAATTAAAAGTAGGTAAGAAAGAAAAAGAAAACACAACAAGCACTTAGAATGAAACCAAGGATGAGGCTCATATGCACTTGTTCCATGTTGTCACAACATTTATGTTGCCAATATAGAGCAGGAGAAAAGACCATTACAAGATGTGTAGTGTCCAAGAGATTAATACAAACCAGCTGTTGAGCAGAAACACAATTAATTCCAATAGTCAAATCAAAAAATGTTTTTCTCCCAAGGTCCTTATCAAAAAGGGAGTATGGGCTGGGCACAGTGGCTCACGCCTGTAATCCCAGAGCTTTGGGAGGCCGAGCTGGGTGGATCACCTGAGGTCAGGAGTTCAAGCCAGCCTAATATGGTGAAACCCCGTCTCTACTAAAAATACAAAATTAGCTGGGTATGGTAGTGCATGCCTGTAATCCCAGCACTTTGGGAGGTGGGCAGGTCACCTGAGGCCAGGAGTTGAAGACTAGCCTGGCCAACATGACAAAACCCCATTTCTACAAACAAACAGAATTAGCCGGGTGTGGTATTTGCTCCTCGGAGCACTGAGGCGTGAGAATTGCTTGAGCCCAGGAGGCGGAGGTTGTAGTGAGATGAGACTGCGCCACTGTACTCCAGCCTGGGTGACAGAGTGAGACTCTATATCAAAAATAAAATAAAACAGAAAAGCAACACACTCATCCAGGGCCACAATGCATAGTAACAAGTTGAGTCATGCTTGTAGTAGTTGGCTCTTAAAGCCCCAAAGTAAGATACAATACTTTTAGTCCTTTTTTGCTCCATGTTTTACTAATTCACTCATATAAAAAAGTAGTGGATGAACCAGAGCTCTGGGTTCAGCATAACTAGGAACAAATCTTTATCACTTAACAGGGTTTGGGACCTCCAACAAGTTACTTAATCTTTTAAGTCTCAGTCTCCCCATTCATAAAATGGGAGTAGTAGCAGTGTTGAGAATCACTTTGCCAAAATTATCTCATACTCCTCCTACATGTTTTGCCTAGTATGCCAAGAATACAAGGTCCTGAGCACTCTGTCTGAGCCATTTTTTAGGATTATGTTTGCAAGGAGCTCAGGAAGAGGAAATAATGTGTCCCCCTGGGACAAACAACAGCCTTGCTTACAGGTTGCTATAAAGTGGCACATTTCCTAGGCTCTCGCCTATAAGGCATTCTAACACTGTTGTAAGCAAACATCTAGGCCTGCCTGCATCACCACTACGGGAACTGAAACTCAGGAACTGATGCAACCAGCCTGAAACATTGGCAGCTGCTTTTGTTGCGGGTCATAAAAATCTTTTGTCTCTGACCTAGGAGTCTCATGTCTTCTATAGTCGTCTACAAAACTGTAGCAAGTTCATTTGGGAGCTTGCAAATAGGAGAAAATATGAGACTCTTTATTGCTTTTGACAAAAAATATTGTCTCACATGGTTTTGGAGAAAATTAAATATTATAAAGCACGTAATATTTCTAATCCAATGTCTGGTACTCAGTATGCCTTTATTCAGCGTTAGCTATTTACAGCTGTTATGAAACATATTATGAAGGAATAAAAATTAGAAATATTTAATGAATCACCTTTATTAAGAAGAATAAAATCCCAAGAAGCTATTAAAATCTCTTCAATTTAAAAATGGACGAATTCTGAATAAAATGCTAATAAGCAAGGCTTCACATTTCTAAAATGTATAAAACAGGTTAGAGGAAGGCATTAGCTTAAATGCCTCTGGCTGTGTGTTAAAATACATTACTAAGTCTAGACATACCAGTTCTTTCGCTTCTTCAAGCTGTTTCTCCACATTTGCAACCATCTGTTTCTTTTCATCTGAAACAAACAATAATACCAAGAAATTGTTAAAGATATAAATAAACCTAATATTTAAAAACTTCAATTGTTTTATGCCTTTTTCCTTTCTGGTGAATCAGATTAGAGAACATAAGGCAAAAGAACATTATCAGTCTTTGGTGGGTTTGAAACCACATTAAGCCATTGATTCTAGGCTATCTAGAAATATATAATCCAATGGAGTACTTAATTATTAAGTGATACACACTACCACACATTTTTTTTTTTGAGGTGGAGTCTTGCTCTGTCTCTCAGACTAGAGTGCAGTGGCACAATCTCAGCTCACTGCAACCTCCGCCTCTCAGGTTCAAGCCATTCTGCTGCCTCAGCCTCCTGAGTAGCTGAAATTACAGGTGTGCACCAGCAAGCCCAGCTAATTTTTGTATTTTTTAGTAAAGACGGGGTTTCACCATGTTGATTAAGCTCAAACTCCTGACCTGGTGATCCGCCTACCTCGGCCTCCCAAAGTGGTGGGATTACAGGCATGAGCCACCGCGCCCAGCCGAGATACCACACATTTTTAAGAGAGAGTAAAAATCATGTTGCCCTTTAGGAGAGATTAGGTCAACAAGAGCAGATTTGTGGTGGCCTGAGGAATCTGTGAAGTCATAACTTTAATAAATTGGGAATAACTGATTTGTTAATACAATTTAAAAGTCACATACAAAAACACTTTCTAAAACTGGGCAAGAATAATCCTTTAAAAAATTGTACTTTTGGTAGCATGGAGAATCAGGTGTAATGGAATAAGTATTTGAAGTTAGGACTACTGATTCCAAACTGAAAGCTACTGTCTTACTCAACGGTTATGGGATCCTGAGCAAGAAAGTTTTATCTTTTTTCCTAAGACTCAGTCTGTATTCTCTAAAATGGAAATAAAAAATATCTACTGAATTACTTTTAGCTCCAATAAGCTTGATGCAAGTGAAATTACTTTTATATTGTAAAGTGCTAAGTCTCTGTAGGATGGTTTATTTTTCTAATACAATCAAGTTATAACCCAACTGTAATTCCCTTCTCTAGGAGAGACATGTCCTGGCAGATAATTTCAGAAAGCTTTCACATACCCTCATTCCAACCAGTCAGACTACCTGTTCACATACCCTAGTTAAGTTTTGTGCAAACCAAATGTATTGAACGTCTCTAGTTTTTGTCTGCCTAGCATTCTTCTCTTCTCAGGCAACAGCCCCTACTCTTCAAGGACCTCCTTCCTCACCAAGCAGGGCAATGGAAAATGCTATCTCCCTAAAGACTCTGCTTCTTCAGTCACGATGACTCGGCAAATGATGGCCATCTAATCCTAACTGGACTAATTTTAGTAACGCAATCCTCTGGCTACACCCATCTGGGGGTGAGGGGTGGGATAGGTATATGACCCAAGGATAACAATCAAAGTTCTAGAGCAAGGGGAAAGTCTTTTCCTCTCTCCTGGTAACGAGAAAATGAGCCTAGAAGCTGCTGGCATCCATTGGTCCAGCTCCAAGAAGAAAGCAAGTATGCAATGGCTGAAAATAAAGCCTGCAATGAAAAAGAAACACAACTGAGACACAGAGAGAGGTATATAGTTAGTTCCCGGCTTGAAATAACTGAAATGGCTTGAGTTTACAAAAGCTTGACTGTATCATAGTTTGGTTTCTTGAGCCGATAGCTTTCTTGTTCTTTATTTCAAACTGGGTTCTTTATTTCACATGGGAGCCTCCAATGAAACTAACAAGCTAGACTAGAAAAGTCATGAAGCTTGAAATGGACACAACATCTACTAGCTGGCCAACCTTCAGAAGGACAGCCAAGCCTAAGGGGGGACTCTTTAGTAGAAATTATTATTTCACTAAAACAATGATCAGATTATTAGTAGATTCTGCTAATCCTAACCCTTTCCCTCTGTTATCTCCAAACTATGGAGGGAGGCAGTTGCCACCTAAGGTGTTTTACGTGTACTCAAAATATTTCTCCCTAAGAAAAATATGCATTTGGGATTAGAATTCAACTTGATTTTCCCTCCTTGAAAAGTTAATCTACATATGGCCAGGTTAAATATTTAATATTTGATCCCAAATTCATTTGCTTCTGGGACATTTCAATCCTTTCAGTATCTTCACACAGTTACAGTTAGAATAGCACTATATTTTTGTGATAGAGAAAAATACAGAATAAAACAGCCTATCTTGGATCAAAAGTGAGATTGTGTATTTACATATCAGAAGGAACAGCTTGTTCTCTTTAAGATATTCAGTTGATAGGAAAGTCCATGCCACAGACCTCCAGGACTAATGAGCAGCAGTTTTCTCATTAGCAAAACAAAACAAAGAAAGAAGCCTCCCTTGACCTGTATTACCCCTTGCTAATATCCCTCTCATCACCAGCCAGTTTTCCTGAAAGCAAGGGTAGACTCTGTTTCCCCTCCTCATGTCCCCATCCACTCCCTGTAAACTAATTCCTGCCCCCACCATTCCACTGAAATTACTCTCACTAGATAATAGCCCTTCTTTTCCCCAAACTAATAGACATTCTTAGGTCCTGTTTTTATTCAATCTTGTGGCTTCTTACACTTTCCTTCTCCCATCCTGTAACTTTCTCCTCTATCGGCTCCCATGGCGCCCTGGTCTGGTAATTCTCCTGAATGCTCACTCCTACTGTGATATTGTGCTGGCCTACAGCCAGAACCGGAGCAAAACTGTTTTTAGATAAGTTGAAATGGCTGCCCCATTCTCCTTACAATAACTACTATCCTTGGCCTCTGTAAATAGAACTGCTAGTTTGTTCTTCAAAACTATGTAAAGCTGCTTACCTTTTCTTATCAGTAACTGCTAAAATCTGTGATGTGTAAACAAATGTATATCTTGACTTCTGTAAACCACTGAGGTGAATCACAGAATCCCCTAGCCCTTGGAATGTCCGGAGACCCCCGCCCTTGTCTCCACCCAGGAGGTGAATCACAGAATCCCGTAGCCCTTGAAATGTCCGAAACCTTATCATCCCCATCCCCGCCCCTCACCCCCACTCCCAAGGTGGTTTTTCGGGTATAAAAAATCATGGCACCCTCCTTTTGGCACCACAGGTTGGAGAGGTGTGAGTCCTCTGTGGTCGCCGGCATAATAAATGACCCTGCAATCTGGCATACTTTTGTCTTGTGGTAACTTTCTATGCTCCAGTCAAATACAACACTACCTCACGGTCCTCTGCTAGGCATTTTATTTGTCAGGCCATCTTTTAACTGCTGACGTTCCCTGGAGTTCAGTCCTTGTCTTTCTTCTTTTATAACTATCGTCTATGTCCCTGGGCAATTTCATCCATTTTAAAATGACCATATTATGTATTTATGATACTAAATCTTTATCTCTAATGCTGATATATTTCCAGGCCTTCAATCCTGTAATCCCACTGCTTATGCCCATCTCCACCAGGCCCACCTGGCAAATCTCTATTCAAAACTCTCTTCAGAAATCATCACTTCTTTGAAGCCTTTCCTCACCCAGCATAAGAGTTAATCACTCTCTTGTACATAAAATATCTATAACTCTTATGTAATCCTATTGATTTATCCCTCACATGAACAATCTTTCAGCTTAGGGGCTCTGGGAAGACAAGAACCATGTCTTAATCATCTTTACAGTCCTACACTATAATGAGTATAGACATATATAATAAGTTTCCAAAAACTTGGCATATATAATGAGTTTCCAAAACCTTGGCATCATGAAGGTAAGTTAAATAAATAACGCAAGACAGTGCAAGAATTTATAAAAGAAGCTATGTTACTAACCGCCTTGGTTTCCCTGCTCTTTCTCCCACTTAATCTTTCTAAAATTTGGCTTTGATGGATCTGTTGAGATTAGCAGTTAAGGTCCCTCACATTCCAGAGCCAAGCATCCTTTCCAACTTTATTTCCAACTACAAGCTTTCTAGTATGCAGCCTACAGACAGACTCTTCATTGCCACCCAAACAAATCTTGTTTTTTCTTCTCTAAGTCTTTGTTAATCTACCATTTAGGGGTCTCTGGCTGAATGCGACAGAAGTGATTCTAGCTAAACCAAGCCAAAAAAGAGAATTTGTTAGAATAATGTGGGGTGGTTCACAGAGTCAGTGGACAAAAATGAGCCACCCAGCTTGGGAAAGAGAGTATCAGGAGTAGCTCAGGGTACCAAGGGAATAGCACCTTACTGACAGTCTCTGCTAAAGAAGAGTCTTGAGCAGCTCTAACTATTCTCTTTCCTTGGTTCATTCTGATCAAATTCCTGGCAAAAATTCTATGAATGTCCTTGCTTGCATAGTACGTTCACCTCTTGACGTACAGAGGGCAAGGCAGCCTATCAGTTCTACCAAGACTGGAATAAGGGGGTTTAAGTAGTTCCTCAATAGAAAGTTGAGTAGATAGAATGAAAGCTGCTGGGCATAACAGATGCCCACTGCATCCATTTATTGTACCTCTGATAATAGTCTTTCCCTGTTTCTGTCTGTCCAAACCCCACCTACCCTTCTAGGTGAGCTCCTGAGACAGACCCTCATCTCCTTTGAATTCCTAGAGTTCTTTGCTCGGCTCTAGGGGTTCCAGTGGTTATTAAAACTTAGGTTCTGCAGTTTCCTCTTTTATTTTTTGAGATGGAGTCTCACTCTTTTGCTTAGCCTGGAGTGGTGTTGTGCAATCTCAGCTCACTGCAACCTCCACCTCGCAGGTTCAAGTGATTCTCCTGCCTCAGCCTCCCGAGTACCTGGGACTACAGGTGTGCACCACCACATGGCTAATTTCTGTATTTTTAGTAGAGACAGGGTTCATTATGTTGGTCAGCCTCATCTTGAACTCCTGACCTCAAGTAATCCACCTGCCTCAGTTTGATAGTGCTGGGATTACAGGCGTGAGCCACTGAGCCCAGCCTGCAGTTTCCTCTTAAGGCTCATCTTTAGCTCCTTGAAGACAGAGACCACTCTTGACAAATCTTGTCCCATTTCTGTATTTAGCACAGAGAGCTGTACATAGTAGGGGTCACTAAGTGCTCACAGAATGAGTGAATCAGTCTTAGCGCGTGACAACACGCTTATTACACACAAAGAAACTGAGGGGGGTGGGAAACTCATTTTAGTGAGGACTGGGGCAAATCTTCCCATTTGAAATGACAAATTTCCCTTTACAAAAAAATAATTAAATTGGGTAGAGGAAGAGTTAATACAATTAGATTATTTTTGTTGTTTTCATAAAATCAATTTCATGATGTTGCTGTCAGGAATAATGATGGAACAGAGACATCCTTTGATTGGTCCTTATAGTGTTCCTCATATTTTTAAGAAGACAAAATCTTAAAAGTGATGATTTAGGGGTAAAGTATGAGGAAGGAAGAAAGGAGAGAAGGAGGGAAGGAACAAAGGAAGGAGAGAAGAAAGGTGAGAGGGAGGGAAAGAAGGGAGGAAAAGAGGGAGGGAGAGAGGAGACTGAACTAGATGACCTGGGAAATACCTACCAACATTTACATGTAATTCCCAAAAGGGATTCATTCTGCCTACCCCAAATGACATCCCCTTTGAAATAACATGTTCCTAGGATTCAAACCTTTGTAACTAACAGCTATCATTACTGTGCATGGTACTCTGTGTTTAACATTATTATAGTAAATCCTTAAAACAACTTTTTAGAGGCACTGTTACTATTCCATTCTCAAGGCATTAAATAAGATCAAAGATATTGAATTAATTCTTGAAAGTTCAACAAATAACAAATGACATAGTTGGAACTCTAATGGGGTCTGTTGTTCTGAACTGAGCTCTTAACCTCTATATGTATTACCTAAAACGTACTATTTAATATATAAACAAAGTCTCCCATTGGTTTTTTTTTTTTTTTTTTTTTGTGGAGGGGCCTATAAACTTGATAAGTGCTGATATATGTACATGTAACATAGTATGATCTTTTCTTTCCTACTCAAAAATTTTTTAATTTTTTTTTTTTTTTAGAGACACAGTTATACTCTGTCATCCAGGCTGGAGTGCAGTGGCATGATCATAGCTCACTGTAACCTCAAACTCCTGGGCTCAAGGGGCCTTCCCACCTCAGCCTTCTGAGTAGCTGGGATGACAGGTGCATGCCACTATGCCTAGCTAGTTTTTACATTTAATTTTATTTTTTAGAGATGAGGTTTCACTATGTTGTCCAGGCTGACCTTGAACTGCTGGGCTCAAGTGATCCTCCTGCCTTGGCCTCTCATTTCCTACTCAATATTAACAGAAGTGATGAGTGCTGATATACACACAACCCTTTGCAAAGTGTATTACAGAAGTGCTTAATCAGCCCAGAATCTCATTAAAATACAGTGAAAGTGTCAAGGCTCACTTGATTTCAGTTATTCATACCTGTCTTTGTGTAATGTAGATATGTTAAAATAAAACGAGCAGCAAAAATTATGTGTGTGCTGAGAAATGTGGAGTCAAACCACTGAGAGAGGAACAGAGAATTTGGAAATGGATATATTACTGATGCTACCCTGTGTAACATGCCATAGAACAGTAAGTGTTGAAATAAAGCCATTCTAGAATGATCCATTTGATAATGGATTAGAGTTGGAGATACTAGTATGAATTGTGTTTAATGTACTATAAATACAAATGATTATATATGCAAATGCTTATAGATATGTTTATATACATGGCTTAGTATATACGTGTGAATTTCCTTGCTCTGTCAACTGAGAGGTTCCAGAAGTAACAACAGCCTAGGAGTAACGCACACACCTAGTGTCCAGATCTTGGTTTGTAACACCCTTCTTTAATTAAAGGAAACAGGATTCCTCAGAGAAATGGCCGATTCTGGCACTGAAACAGGAAAGAGTGAAGATGATCCTGGAGTATCTCATACTATCAAAAAGCAAGAAAGTGCTAAAAAAAAAAAGAAAAAAAGAAAAGAAAAGCCATAATGATAAGGGTATGTCAAAAGGACACAAGAGCCAAGTTAAAAAAGGTTCCCAATGGTCAAAGCTAAAACAATTTGAGCAACATGAAAATAAAGTAGTATTGGAATATGTATAACACAAAGGACAAAATCAATATCTAAGAGTCCATACTGATGTAAATGACTGAATAAGTAAATAAATGAATAGATCTCTCATAGAAAGGAATTACAAATAATTTATGTAGCTACTTGCCTTCAAGGAGGTAGGGCATAACTCCCCACTCCTTAAGTATAGGCTATGCATAGACAATTCTATTCCAAACAGTATAGAAAAGGGAGGGAAAGAGTAACATTACAGTAGAGAAACCTGGCAAACACTACCTCAGCCAGGTGATTAAGGTTAACATCAGTAACGACAAGTCATGTTGACAGTATGTACTCTTGATATGTGATGAAAATGATGCTTTCCCTCTGTGGTCTTCCTCCCAAAAACCCGTAGCTCCAATCTAATCATGAGGAAAACACTGAGCATATCCCAGTTGAGGGAACCTTCTAGAAAATATCTGACCAGTATTCCTCTAAACTGAAAAGTCATCAGAAACAAGGACAGCTTGAGAAACTGTCACAGTCAAGAGGAGCCTAAAAAGCCATGAGCACTAAATGTTTCATGGTATCCCAGATTGGATCCTGGAATAGTCAAAGGATATTAGGTAAAAAGCAACAAGCAAAACAAAACAACATCTGAATAAAATATGACCTTTAGTTAGTAATAATGTAACAATGCGGGTTCACTAGCTGTAACAAATGTTACCATATTAACACAATGTTCATCACAGAGAAAACTGAGCATGGGGTATATGGGATTCTCTGTACTATCTTTGATTTTTCTGTAAATTTCAGACTGTTCTAAAATAAAAAGTTTATTAAAAAAAACACACGGATTGTTTATATGTATTTATATTATTCGAAGATGCATACAACTCCATAAATGCTTAATTTTTTTATAAGACATACTGGGCCATCAGTAACTGCTAAAGACTATCTTCCCTGTACACTCAATTGAAAAAGTTGGACCTTGCCCAGCAGCTCATGAAGTTGATTTTGAGGTAGCCTGAATCCTAACAAGGAACAAACTGACTATTGCAGCAGTGAGTTCTTGAATTAGGACTGGAGCCACTCCTTCAAGTATAACTCTCTAGAGCAACAGAAATACAGTACAAGTCACACATGCAATTTTAAATTTTCTTGTAGCATTATTTTTTTAAAGTTAAAAGAAACAAGTGAAATTAGTTTTGATAATGTTTTGTTTTAATATTTAACCGCATATCTAAAAAATTATCGTTTTACAACGTAGCAACAGCCACATTTCAAATGCTCAATACCTACACGTAGATATTACAGCTCTAGAGCTGAATATATTTTAAGCAAACCACAGTATTCATGAACAAAGGCCAACTTTTCTGAATTATTTCACTGCAACTACCTTGAAAGGCAAGAGAGAATCACAGAAGTGTGTGTATGCCTTCAACCACATGTGGCTAAGTCTAGATGATCTAGACAATCCGCCAGGGCTTGGCATAACTAATCCACTAGACCCAGGCATTTCCTCACAGAAAAGACACCTGCCTTGTCCCACACCACTTCCACTTCTCTCCTCCAGTTCCTCCCCTTAGGATCCTCAGTTCAAAGCCCAGTTCCAATTTCATACCCAAAAAGCCCTCATCACTTACCTCCTTTCAAATATGTTCATCAAGAGAATCTACCTAATTCTGGTCTAGGCACAGAAAGGATGCAAGAGTTGAAGTGTAGGATTTCAGAGTTCAGTTAATATGAGAAAGTCTGAAGAGCAGGCTCCTGGCTAATCTTACCAGCTGTTGTCTTCAGCAGCAGCAATCTCATTAATGGCTAGCATATCACACGTTTTCTCTGTGTAAGAACTGTACTAGTGTGGTACATGTTTTATTTCATTGATTTTTACATTATAAGGTTGAAATTATTACTCTCTCTCACTCCCATTCTACAGATGGAGGAGACAGGCCTAGAGAGGCCAAGCAATTGTCCATGACTTCACATCTAGTACGCAGCAGAATTAGGGTTCTAAACAGATCTGATGTCATGTCTGAGTCTAAATCATTTTGCTGTGATACTTTCTTGATACAATTCTGAGGACAGCCATAAAGTGACAGGATTCACAACAGATCATTATCTCTCTGTCAATGGTAAGGAAAACAACTAATTGCAAAAAGACTACTTTGTTTAAGATCCTTCAGGAAGCCTACTTCATGTAAGGGAATCTTTGCACCAGAGAAAAACAGTCCCCACTTAAGAATGCACCCCTGTCACTAGAGGAAAAGGAACATCACCATAAAGTCCTAGCTGTATAATTTCTGCTCATCCATTTTCCTGACTTTCCCACAGAACAGTAATAATTAAAAAACAACTTTCAAATATAGTTCCATAACGGTATCAACTAAGAAAGAACTCACCCATCTCAGTTCAATTACTAAAATTAGTTAAGATTCAAACACTTTAAGAGCAAAGTCTCTTTATTGTTTAAAAAAATCACAGAGTAATCAAATTTCTTTCTTAAAATAAAATTTTTAAGTGTTCACTCTTCCGTTCTCTTTGGAAGAAATACTTTTAATACATTGTAACATGCACAGCACAAAGTTCATTTCAACAGATCTGCCTACTCCAATTTAAATAAGTTAATATGTTGGGGAATGAACTGCTTTGACTGGAAAGTTTGCTCCAATTTTTATCCTTCTTAACTCAAGTAAATTATACTTCACCTCGTCTGGGTCACTTTTGGCTGAACACTACACTTGCGAATGATGCCCAGGTAGATAGATAATAATTACTAGTCATCATACTGTTTTTGCCATAGTTATATATATTAATGTCTGTCAGTCTACAGACATACATCTGAAATTCATAACTATACGGACATATTTTTCATCTTTTTATACTTATTAATTGGAAACAGATTATAAAAGGAGCAAGCACAAGTCATTATTAAGAGGGCAACCAATGCATTTTTAAGAATTATCATTAGGCCGGGTGCAGTGGCTCGTGCCTGTAATCCCAGCATTTTGTGAAGCCGAGGCGGGTGGATTGCTTGAGCCCAGAAGTTTGAGACCAGCCACAGGGTAACATGGTGAAACCCCATCCCTACAAAAAGAAAATCATACAGGCACAGAGGCTTGTGCCTGTAGTCTCAGCAACTTAGGAAGCTGAGGTGGGAGTAGCCTTGAGCCAGGAGACGGAGGTTGCAATGAGCTGAGATTGCACCATTACACTCCAGCCTGGGTGACAGAGGGAGACCCTGTCTCAAAAAGAAAAAAAAAAAATTATGATTATTCAGTAATACAAGTCAGTAAGCATTTTTCCAGTGCCAGTAATGCAGTCTCCTTTCAATTGTAATGTGGCTCCTTTGTTTGGATCTTACATAATACTACAGCTAAGGAGAGGCACAGTCTTACTTTTAAGGTACTGAATTCAAAAAGTTTTCTTTTATAAGTTAAGAATTGTTACATTAAAATATAAAGGCAAGAAAAACATTGTAACAAGATCTGTTTTCTTGGAAACAGTTTTTACAACTTTGCATCCAAGGATGACTTTGATTCTTTGTAAAAACAGCTTCCCAATACAAAAGCTAATAACCCAAAGAAATGTTTCTACTGCTAAAACAATTACAATGAAAAATTAGTAAAAATCTAACTGAAACCACAAGTCCTGATATTCTGAGGCTCTGGGACTCAATTCAAAGGAAGTAGTCTCCAACAATAATAAAAACCAAGATGGTCTCCCGCAGTGGAGAAAAGCAGAACTGAAGCGGCGAGGTGATGTATCATGAAGAGATGAGGCCATCAGCCACTTTCGACACAAAAATCTCTGAGGCAGCAGAGCTTGGTGGTATATACTACCTTGGTTCTCTCCTCTTGTCCCCTTACTTGGACTCATAAACCTCTTTAAGACATCATCCATCTCCTCCAGAACTAACTGGGGACTTCAGGAGATGAGTGGGGTGTAAGTTCAGAGATCCTGGCTTCAAGCAAATATCCCTATTAACAGAAAATAGGTGAGGGGAAGAAAAAGAAATAAGGGAAGAAAATTACTTATAAACACATACGTTTTGGGGGAAGTAGGGAAAGGGAAAGAGGAATGACAACTTAGGTGCAGGAGAAATTGTTGTTAGTACCACGACAAGTGAGTGAGTGAAGTGCCCACCAATCCAAAGACTGATGAGCATCCCCTTTTCCACACTTTATATCCCAGAGCTAGCGTAGGGTCAAACCCAGCAGCCAGATGATGGTTCAATTTCCCTAACAAATCGTATAACTTAACTACTCAAATCTGTAGAGAGAGATAATTCCGGAAACAACATTTTACAAACCAAAGTTACAAAAGATCATGTTTACATTCACCTGCTCATTCACTTATTTTTCTGAGCCCCTAATAAGTAAATGCCAAGGAAATCACAGACACAGCTCCCACCTTCACATAGTCGACAGTCTAGCATGGAAAATAAGAGGTGCTAAAACACGAAAGCAAACACAAAAACAAAAACACTTCTAGAAGGGAGATGTGAAATTTTTGAAGTGTGAAAAATTATCTTGTACCAAGTTTTACATAAAACTGGGTTATACACTAAATCCCCAAGAAGGATGAGAAACAAGAAATGAGGTGGGAGGTATGAAAAATACTAATGCTAATACAGCATCTAGCAACATCAGAAGGGTCTTTAAATATGCTATGTAAATTTAATCTACATGACAACCTCATGAGAGAAGTACAATTTTCCCCCATTTACTAAGAAGAAAAGTTGGAAGAAGTTAATAAGTCTGCTTATGAGGCACAACTTTTAAGTGACAGAGGGGGGATTTGCATCCAGGCACCCTGATTCTTACCTCTATTTTGCCGCATATAATTATAACAATAGTATTACTAACAAAACAACGCCGCTGTAGACTGTAGATCCATAAGCTACGTACTTTCATTCATTTTCTTTGAACACTCACATCTCTATAATTTACAAATGGAAAAATTAAGACTCTTAAGACGTTAAGAAACGTTCCCAGGTTATACAAGTTACAAGGAAGTGGAGTCGGGAATCGAACTGAGATTCCGAAGGCTCTTCTCACAACATCCCATCCCCAAACTTGGACTCTTCATTTACCCTCAACCAAGCCAAGCCCTATCCCTCCGGGGAACAGCCGGCACCTCCCGCTCCAGCCTCGCGCCTCACAGACACACTTGCTCGGGCGGTGTTCCACTGCCCGCACCCTCCCCGCTCTCCCCAGCACCCTAGCCCAGCCGAGCAGGGCTCTCACCAGGCGGGAGTCGTGGGACCCTCGCAATCTTGCTGGTGATCTCTGCAGTGAGCACCGCAAAGTCCTGCTCGTAACCTTCGAAGTCGGACGACATAGCGGCTACGGACCGAGTGGCCCAGGCCAAAGCCTAGGTCAGGGCAGGAGCCTCAAGGGGCAGCGCGGTGGGGGGCCGCGGCTTAGGAACCCCGCGAGGTGCCCCCGAGAGCAGAACGGAGAACCGGGGACAGCTCCCAACCCAGCCGCTTCCTGGTTGTTCGTCGCAATCTCGATCCTCCGGAAATTAGGTTGGGTGCGCGCTTTATTTTCTGCCCAGTCTTTAAGAGAAGGAAGTTCGCTAAGGAAAAGCGCCCCAATTAGTGACACCAAAAAAAGCATGTGAAAATATTCGCGTTCTGAAGGGTCATTGGAAGCGGTTTTTTTTCCCCCTTCGTGTTCTGGAAATCGGCTGCAGATCCGCACGCTACGGGTCTTGGGAGCTTGCTTCTGGAGGGAAGTTTGAGGAGCCGAACCTCCGGAAGTGGCTGAAACGGAGACTGCGCAGGGGGCCTGAGCGGGAGAGTCGCGGCGAGGGCGCTGGCGGAGGGGCAAGCGGGTCGTAGCAGGTCCCGCACTCCAGCCTCTCAAGGCCGGGGTGTGCTGTCTTCTTGTCCTGGACTGAAGTGCCCATGATCGAGTCATCCAAGGAGGAAAAAATCTGTTCCGGGTGAGCCCAGGCCGCCCCGGATGTGCGATGGCTGAGGAGCGGACACCAGGGACCACACTGAGGTGGGAGTCAAGGCAGGGAATATAAGCACGATTTTGGTGGTCTTCGCCCCACCAGAGTGGGACCAGGCTCTCCTGAATGTTGAGACCAACGTGGCTTACTAGAATATTTCTTCCTTGGGTGAGGATTTATTTCTAAGCCCTGCTCCATGACTTGGGCGGGAAACTGAGGCACAAGTCGACAGCGTCTGCCGCGTGATAGTCTCTATTATCCATGTAGCTCAGATCCTCTTTCCCGGACTCACTCCAGTCCACTCCTTCCCCAAACCTCCCCTGAGCTCGCCGTCCTGCCTTCCGTTTCCCTCGCTTCCGGAGGCACTGCCTTTTCTTTCTTCCCTCTAATCTAATTCAGGTCCTTCCCATATACTCTTCTGGTCATAATTTCACACACACCACACGTGCACCCTCGCTCTCTCTCTTTCCTTCCTTTCCTTGGCTGTTCTCTTTGCTTTCACTCTTGCTTCATTATTTTTCACCCAAATTGTTCTCTTGGTGTTTGTAGGGCGGGGTGGGGAAACTGCAGGCAAATGGCGCAGACCATGTCTGACTAACACTTGGCTTAGTTCAAGAGGCAGCTTAGAACTTCATAAAGGGAGTTCGTTGACTTGGCTTCTATTCTGGTTCAACTGTTACTTACTTGTGACCTTGGTCTAATCACCTAGCCTTTGTAAGCCAATTTCTGTTCTATGAAGAAGGAAGCTGAATTAGATCAACTCTAAGGTCCTGATTCTCCGTTCTAAAATTCTTTGTCTTCTCAAACTATTCACTAAGCGTTGGATGGTGACAGTACCCTGATAAGCTGAGAAGGAATAAAAACAATTATTTTGGAATTGGGTATCCAGGTTACATGCCATTCAAACTTGTATCATATTTTGGATAAGTCAAAAGTAATTCTTTTTGACATTTGACAAGATATACATCCTACTTGTGAGATGCTGTTGTGTAGGTGTTTATTGTCGTTAACAAGTATGGTATGTGATAAAGACTTTTTTAACCGAACTTTCCCATTTTGCTTTCTTTAGGTTGGGTTTCAGACCAAGATACTGGATTCTCCTAGTTAAGATAAAGAGCTTTGGGTGCCTGACAGTGAAAATGGCATAATCTGCGTTAACAGTTCACAGCTTGAAGGCATGACAGTTAAGGAACACACATGGACTTGTGGCACATGGAAATGTGTGCACAGAAAAAGGAAATCTATAATTCTTTAAAAGTAGGAAGGCATTCTTCCTTGCCAAAATGGGCACATTCTGTTCAGTTATCAAGTTTGAGAATCTCCAAGAATTAAAGAGACTGTGTCACTGGGGTCCCATCATAGCCCTTGGTGTTATAGCAATATGTTCTACAATGGCCATGATTGACTCTGTGTTGTGGTATTGGCCCTTACATACAACTGGAGGAAGTGTGAATTTCATCATGTTGATAAATTGGACTGTCATGATTCTTTATAATTACTTCAATGCCATGTTTGTCGGTCCGGGCTTTGTCCCTCTGGGGTGGAAACCGGTAAGACAATGAACTTTAATGATAAGCATATGTTTGGTTTTTGCCTTATCTGCTAACCAGTAATACTAAACACAGCCTGCTGTTTGTCTTGGTGGAGATTAAGTGTATTATTCTAATCACTGATCAGAGATTTTATTTCGTGTCTGTTTGAAGATATTCACCCAAAATAGCATTTTCCAAATATTCAATTTTATTGAATATTTGCTCTGCATTAAAAAAAGTTGGAAGTGGGGTGGGTTCATGGTCAAAAGTTGAGGAAACATCACATGTCATACACAATGAGGTTTGGATATAGGATCTGTTTTCGTGTAATACATTAACATCCCTTAGAACTGAGAACAGCACTTTAGAAACTGCTGGTTTAAATCATAAGGCTTTTAAGTCATTGCACTGAAACTATAACATTGGGAAGTATAGTCCAAATCCATTTATAGCTTAAAAACTACTAGAAAGTTTATGCTTA